CTGGGTGTAGCTCGGAGGTGATGGGCTTCACCTGCCACAGGGATGCAGAAGGAGCAGCGCGGGCATTGGACGCTGTCGGACAATCCCGGGAGAGGAAGGACGTTCCCACACTCCGGGCAGAAGTTCGGATCCCCTCCAGAACGGAACATTCCTGCTGGGTCAAGTGTGCCTGGTGGTTCTGTAACAGAATGAATGCAATAAATAAAAAAATACAAGAATAACTTCTAAACTAACACATGAAGCCTGTAAATATGGATGTAGACACTCGAAACAGCAGTTAAATCAGCTGGACTAATCTAAAAAAGTTCAATCTGGTCCTCTGGACATTCAAAAATAAAAATTGTAGAAACGTTTCGTACGCATGTTCAATCTCAGTAACATGTTTCCAAACTTTACATTCGCCTTCAGACAAGTCAAACTCTTTTTATTTCAACACAAATATCACTTTAGCTCCAGTTTAACTTACCAATCGTCTGCAGTTTACAGCATGTGCTTATTTAAATAAAGGTCGAATGAATGAAAATTTAATTCGGAAACATTTCTTCCTCGTTACGGGGTCCTACAGCAGCTCGCCGTCGCTTCCTGATGACGTCAACAGCTTCGCCGTGTTTAAAAAAAAGTTTTAATCAACGTCACAAACATTTGTCTGTCAGGGGTATATTAACAGGTACAAAGGAAATAGTGTTCAAGTATAAAAAATAACAAGACAATATATTTACAGGGTATACAGATAAATTCACATTAAGTTTATCTGAGTTCATTTCCTTTTTGTTTTCAAGTCCTGTGCTGCTGTACATGTAAAGTTCTGCTGAAGTGGGTTCTGCTTGGAGTTGGAGTTTGACCACTTTTTCTTGCGAATGTGAAATTTTCCCAGGACAAGTAGAAGTTGGTTGAAGTAGATCAAGTCTTTCCATGTTCTTATCGTCGAAGCATAATATAATGTCTTTCTTTAGAAGCCCCATAACGCTAGTGGAATATGGAGATCACAAAAAACATGCTCCAACAAACTTAGAAGAACATGTCTACAGAAAATTACTTTATGTCCCGGTAGATTTTTTTGGTCTTCTATATTTGAAGAAGTTAACTGGAAGCAAGTTTGGTTAAACGGTAACAATTTTGCATAACAAACAAAGTTAAAGAGGTTTCGTATAAAATTATTCATAATGTATACCCTGTTAAAAGAAAAAACAAACAAATGGAAAGATTTAAACTTGATATTGACGACTCTTGTACATTCTGAACTACACATGGAAACAATTTCTCATTTATTCTCTCAATGTAATCATACAAAAGCATTTGGACAGATGTACAACAACTCATACGACAGAACTGGACAAATAATTCAACTTACAGAGAAAGATCTGCCGTGTTGGGAACAAAAGTAAGGGAAAAGCGGAGGGTTTAACTTGATAAAAAGTTTAGTTTTTAGGTTTAAACATCAAGTTTATTTTACTAGATGATGTCTATCCATTCATCAATCCATCCATTATCTTTACCCGCTTCTACATTGTGTATAAAAATAATAATTATATATATATATATATATATATATATATATAT